ATAAGTAAATTAAGCCATTTGGTGGTGATCCACACCTTTAATCCCAGCACTCAGGAGGCAGAAAAGTAGGCGAATCTCTGAGTTCAGCGCCAGCCTGGTCTACAGAGCGAGTTCCAGGAGAGCCAGGGGTACATAGAGAGATTTTGTCTCGAAAATCCCAAAAGGAAAAAGAAAAGGAAAGGAACAAGAAAATGAGTGCCCTTCCCCTCTGAAGTTTGATATGAGAGATTGAAGATACCATCAATGTAATTTTGCATTTTTTCCTGAAAATCGTGAAGGAGGTCCACAGTTTGCCATGACTTCAAATGTCCTGCTCACCGTCCATTCCCTTTCCAGCTGTTTTCTTCAGCGATCAAGTTTCATTTCTATTTTTTCATCTTATTGCGTAGATCAATGTGATCTCGACAGAAAAGGGATCCAACCAATCTGAAAGTAGAGGCCCGCTAGAAGGAGTGATAATTGAGCTAAAAATTGAGGAATCATCCTTGACAGACCGGGAAAGGAGAAATATGAATTTTCTTACCCTGCTTCTGGCATTTCGCAAGCTTTCCAAGTCATTCCCATGTGTGGCCCCTTTGGGGACTACTACTCTTTTCTAAGACAGAACACCTTTTCATTTCTTGGAAAGTCCTATATCTTGGCAAGTTTCTCCTTGCAAAGTCCATTTTTCTTTCTGTACTTGTCTAGAAGGAGATGCCATGGTGTGAGACGTGACAATTGACATTTACTGTCCCAGTACAGTCCTAAAGGGCCATGCCAAGAGCAAGTGACCCAAAATAACTAATTGAGTCCCTTAGTCAAGACTCCTGGCTCTCCCTTCAACAAGGTCTGGCTCTGAAAGGAGGGTGACCTTGGATGGTCCAGCCACCTTCACGAGTGGAATAATCCTGAGGCCAAGGCTTCCAAGTCTCCTTGGAGCTGTCTCGGGAGAGCCAATCCAAAGGGCCAAATCGGGACAGCTATACTGAGAGGGTGGGCTTAGCCTTTACCTAACTGTCCTGCCAATGCCCCGAGAGACCTTGTCACATCTTACTGGTGTGAGCCCTGGAGATTCCAAGTGTTTGGAAAAGATTTGCCGGTTCTCACCCTTCTCATTTCCCCCCTCAGTGCCTTGCTATGCTCATGGAGTCCACCTCAAGGCTCAGGGTGAGCAAAGGTGTCAAGCAGCAGTCCTCCTCGACCGCCATCTTCAAATCTCTAGGCCCCGAGGGAGATCACGTCCAGCATTTCAAACCTAGTTCAAATACTCCCTCTGCTTCTTCCAAGCTTCTTTCAAAATTCAAGGAAACGAAATCTTTCTAAACAAACTCCAGTGACAGTTTCAGTCACCCCTTGACAGACTGCTGTTAAAGGTCAGCTTCCCTCAGAAGAAGGAAGAAGAGCGGAGGACAAAATGGAGGCCTCCTTCCCAGAGACCTGTAAACAATCTGATGTCTTGTTTCATAAACCTTTGGGACTTTGAAGGGGTGGGTAGCTCAACTTTATGTCACCAGTTCTAATAAAACAAGCAAATAGCAACAATAAAAAAAAAATCAAACCTAGCAGGCTGTGAATAGACCCGTAACCTCAATATTTATCCTTTGTTTTGCGGAGAGTTCAAGGTCAACCCCAGTTGCATGAACCTAAAACCCAAAACCAAAACAAGCAATAACAACAAAACACAAGTAAAATACAAATTCAAAGGCTCGTGATGTGAGCTCATTTTTTTTTGGAGTCAAGGTCATAACACACATATGCATGCATAAGCACATAAATTGTTTTATTATATATAATTGTAATTGTATATAGCATTGCTCAATATGTATAGCAATTTCTTTTCAAGAATAGAAATATCACATGTAAAATCATGAACTCCATTGTTTCTGAGCCCTGGTTATCTATCTTTTGATGTTGTTGCTATTTTGAGACAGGATCACGTGTTGCCCAGGCTGGTCTCCAACTTGCTATATAGCCAAGAATAACCTTGAACTCATGATCAGTACTGGGTTTATATGCATGTGCCACCACACCCAAGTTAGGTCATCTATTAAGACAATGGTTCTCAACCTGTGGATAGAGAGACCCCTCTGGGGACCGCATATCAGATATTTACATTATGATTCATAACAGTAGTAAAATTACACTTATGAAGTAGCAATGAAATAATTTTATGGCTGGGAGGTCATCACGACACGAGGAACTATACGAAAGGGGTAACAGCATTAGGAAGGTTGAGAACTACTGAATTGAGATCTGTTATGATTTGTGGTATCTTTCTGGTTATGTACATCTGTGCAGCGCCGCTCTATGAACCCTCCCACCTTGGTGGCTGTGCCCTCTGTGCCTCTGTTCTTTGTTCTCTGCCTTTGGCCACCAGATGGCATTCTGGAAACATTCCCATTCTGCAAACATTTTCTGCATGCAGCTCTCCTGCAGGCTCTCAACTGGCCTCCCCTCTCCGCTACCTTCCTGGGAGCAGCTTTAGAGGCTTTTTGGGAGACAAATCTGTAGGATCTTGGACAACTTTCCTGTGTTCAGCTTCTTCAGCCTGATAACTTGGTCATGCAGGGGGTGAAACAAGAGGACGTGGGTAAATCACTCAGGACAGGCTGGCAAGTCATTGCTGATCTCATGGTCCTGCCCGAGCCTTCCGAAAGCTTCTCTGGCCTTCAGAACAAGTTTTAGGTCCTTCCTGTGAGCTCCCAGGTCTTTAATCATTCAGAGACCCTGGTCCCATCTTCCTTCTTCTGTACCACATAGACCCTCCAGATGCAGCACAAGGGACCGGTCTCTGCCCAGTCTCTGTCAGTGGCCTGCTTTGCCTTTCTCTGCTCTTCCTGTTGCCCTAGTGAACTACTCCTGTCCATCAGGGATGATTGAGCACTTGTCCCAAGGCACTGCCGCGGACTCTCAGGCCACAGTCCACAGTGACTGCACTGGGCTCACTTTTCCATTTCCTCTACTTCTGCATTGACCGTAAGTCATGGTCTCTTTGCTGCCTGGTGCAGCAGTAGGACGAATAAGGGTCAGACAGTGAGGTCATCTTGTAAGCTGTCACTAGAGGACAGTGAGCATCCACTGTGTTCCTGTGCTCTGAGGAACATGACTGACTACATGGCTCCCCTTTTAGTGTGTGTGTGTGTGTATGCTGCACCTTGCCTAACCAGAGCTAAGAGAGACCAGACAAAGGAAGGAAAAAATGAACAAACAGAAGCAGAAAGGTAAATGCGTGACTGACTTCTCATTTGCATCTGAACCATTAAACCAGCAAGATGAGAAAGAGAAAACCGTGGTCCCTACTTGCTGAATGCTTCCTGCCAGGCCCCCACACTCAGGCCTCCATGGGTCTTGCTTTTCCATCCTTACTATAAAAGATAGATGGCAGGCACACTCTTAGAGAAGGAAGCTAAGGCTCAGAGACTTAATCATTTGTGCTCTAAGTCTGTGAGCGTCTGGCCGACCCCAAAGTTGTGCCCTAGGAAATGGCCCTAAAGACTCAGGACCCCCAAGGCTTCGTGGGCTCAGTGAGATGGTTGAGCAACCTCCAGGAGTGAATGCAGGATGGAAGGAAATAAAGGGCAGAGGGAAGGGGAGGAAATGCACGTGGTTAATCCTCAGCCACCCCAAGCCTGACTGCAATGGATTTCCATGCCAACAAGCCCTGAGTGGCATCACTGTGTCCAAATGGAGCATCTCTGGCCCCAAGGACTCAGCAGTAGACACCCATCTTTGGGAAGTTGACCTTAATTTCCACCATTTCAAATGCTTTACAGACCTCCAGAATAAACCTACATAAGGCTGAAGCATAAGGCTGAAAGGATATTGGAGGTAACGGAACGGGGAAAATAGAAGCCACAAGGCCACACAGGCAGCCTGCCCACTCCTCTGCCTTCCTGCACCTCGCCTAAGTCAGAAGATGTGTGGGAACGAGGGCTCACCTTCAAACCAGGGCTGGGAGTGGGAGTTCACAGGACTCTCATAAACAAAAGTGTGCTGAGAAGAATGGGAGGAAGGGAGGGAAAGACGGATGAAAGGGAGAGGAAGGTGTGGGAGAAGGAAACGTGAAAAGTTCGAGACAGAGGAAGGGAGGCTGGGGGTTCCCCAGACAGGGACTCAAGCTGCACCAGATGCAGAGAACAATGGATCCCAAGGATCTCAGGAAGGGGACGGGG